ACTTGTACTTGTTAAAGTGACAGCGTACAGAGAGCTCCTGACGTCCAGTCGGTTACATCTCTGACTACAAGGAGTGGTGATAGAACCTTAATACCACCTTACAATAACAGAGGAATAGCAGTCAAAGAGGCAGTTGGAAGGCCTAATATAGGCGAAAGTTCACCAAAGCTATGATCTCGGACAGGTCTGGAATCTGTGAGGCATATCCCTAGTTAATTTGTCAAATCAGAATTTTAAACGCCCTTGGCAGGTCAGTGAATCAAAACACCCCGAGTTAACCACGACGCTGCCCATTTGACCTACCTTCTTAAAAGATCGACGTTTTACAATCAAAGTGGGAAGACTAAACTGGGAAGGTGACTATTTCCTGTTACCTAAGCAACTGTGAATCCTATGACTTTTTTTAAGAGCTCAATACCACAAGGTAGTCAAATAATTCTGTGCTGTCTTTGTAATAAGACAAGGTACAAGATGGATGCGGAGTCCACGTTTCCGTAATGTCCCATCTCTGGAAGTAAACGGCTACGACCGTCTATAGCCACCTCTGTTTATGCCTCAGCCTGTTTGCGAACAATTTTCTGAGGTCAGGGAGAACTGATTATTTCCACTTGGAGAAATATCATCATCTGGGGGATTGAGGAGGACAAGAATGAGGCAGTATCTCCCATCCCATCATACAGTCAGTATGAGGTCTTCTCAGGAGAAGGTTTTACGACTTTATGAGACCTTTCAAAAATAAAACTTTCTTTCTACTAATTTACCAACCATGTCTTTTTCTAATAAGTACATTTAGGAAAATACTACTACATTTTCTGCCTTTTGTCCATTAAAATTGCCTGCTGTATTGGTTCTCCTGTAACCTCCGTGAAAGCTGTTCAGTTGTCTATCTGTTGAATTCTCAGCTAGTCGAAATGTTTAGAAACACCTAATCTTAGGTTTTTATGGACTTTTTTGCAACAAGAGACCAGTCACCTTTAACCCATTCAGTCCAGGTTAATTTGATTACCAAATCTAAATCCTGCATGGAATAAAGAAGCCAGTTAATGTTGCTCCATGTCCCCCAATAGGGGCTTGTTTAGTCGTAATCTTAAGGCTGACCTAGGCAGACGCTAGTTATCTTTGAAGTGTCGGTAAATGTGACCCAGAAAGTGGCAAATACTGCAGTTATTCGTGCCACTGCTAGACTTGTCACTAGGACGCGCTGGCTTTACATACGCTGAACTGTATAGCCACCGTCCCTGTGCCCGTACCACTACTGAAAGGCCACCATGAGAAGCAGAAGGTTATTTGAAATCAAATTGTGGTAGCATAGAAAGGATAAAAGTATAGACACCAAAACAAGGTGACCAGAGACGATGCAGGCTGAAGTGATGGATGAATGAATAATTGTCTGGCTGACCAATGGACAGGAGTAAGTGGATGGATACAAGACGAATAGTTGGATACAGAATGGATGGATACGGGGTGCGTACAGGCTGGATGGATCTGGGATAAGTAAATGAAGGGAAGAATAGGTCACACTTCACGCTGCTAACTATTTAGCCAGCTAGTCATGCTCGTGGTTAGAGTGGCTTAGATCTACAACGGCATAGAAACTACGGCGATAGCAGCCTTCCATTCCTATTTCAGGAACAGATGTCTAGACTACCGCCACCAGCTTAAACACCTACACACATATGAATGTGTACTGGGCTTGTGTCAATCATCCCCTAATCGGGGGTAGAGCCATCGGATGCCTTCGGACATAATTGACGTTGCCACTGGTCGGCATGGTTACACACCCGAGACACCGTTATTTCGCCGAAAGGAAGAATAAGCAAATGCATCAAACACTAGTTCGTTTGCAGCTTCCCAGGATATCGCCATCTCTAAGATGCTCATTCTAGGCGGAGAATGGACCAATTCTCCTAACGACGATTTTTTATTTTAAAATGGAAGGTTTTGAACAAATTGATACCTAAAGTTTTATAAATTATTGTGCCACTGTCAACTGTGACTGAAATTTTACCCTTTT